GAAGTATCTTGCATATTTGGACGGACGCATTATTCAGTTCTTCTAACTGTAGGGATCCTGAATCTCTCTTCTTCAGGCGAGTATTTTTGATGAATCTAAAAACATAAGATAACACTCTCAACAATTTACTCCATGAGGAGAACTTCGGAGAATGCGTCCGTCCAAATATGCAAGATACTTCAATTTTCAGTGTTTCAAGAAGACATTGCACGTCTCAAGTCAGGAAAACTAGTAACGTCCCGTCTAAAGCATCTCTCACCCTTCATTGATGATTCTGGACTCCTCAGGGTTGGAGGTCGCATTCAACACTCAACATTATCATTTGCAGCAAAGTACCCAATCATCTTGCCTAAATCACACCATATAACTAACATTATTATCGATTATTATCACTTGAAATATTTACATGCTGGACCACAATTTCTCCAGGGCATAATCTCTCAAAGGTTTTGGATCCTTTCAGCAAGAAGTGTGATCAAGAGTAGAATATTTAAATGTGTACGTTGCTTCCGCTGTCGACCTACTCTAGCTTCGCAGAAGATGGGCGATCTCCCTCCAGTTAGAGTTACTCCTTCGTAAGTTTTCTTTAACTGTGGAACTGACTTCATGGGGCCGTTTTTGGTTAAACCAAACAATTTGCGCAGAACTAGCCCTGTAAAGATGTACTTGTGTATCTTCATATGCCTAGCTGTCAAAGCTGTTCATCTTGAGGTAGTTAGCAGCTTGACTTCAGAAGCCTTTATTGCAGCCTTGACTCGTTTTGTATCACGAAGAGGTCTTTGCTCAAATATTTTTTCAGACTGTGGAACGAATTATGTCGGAGCAGCAGCAGAACTACAACACATTCAGTCATTTCTACAACAGGATGAGACTAAGAAAGCATTAAATAAGTTTGGAAATGAAAATCATATAAAGTTTAACTTTATACCTCCAGCAGCACCTCACCAGGGAGGAATATGGGAGAGAACCGTACGAAGCGTCAAATACCACTTACGACGTGTTATTGGAGAACAACTCCTCAACTTCGAATAATTTCTCACCTTATCTACAAAGATAGAAGCAATACTCAACTCTAGGCCCATCACTGCCCTCTCCTCAGACCCTGCTGAAGTTGATTACCTCACACCAGGACACTTCCTCATTGGAAGCCCTCTACTCTCACTTCCTGAGCCAACATGGGAAGGAGTTCGAAGCAATAGACTCTCAAGATGGCAGCTTGTCCAAGCTATGTCTCAACATTTCTGGAAGAGGTGGCAGAAAGACTATCTCCATACCCTGCAGGGAAGAGGAAAATGGACACTTCCCCAAGTAAATATAAAGGAAGGTGATCTTGTATTGATCCACGAAGAAAATTCTCCTCCCCTCTCCTGGAGGACAGGCCGTGTCACCGCAACTTCCCCTGGACCTGACGGACTCGTTCGGGTTGTACATCTTCATACCAACAAAGGACCTCTAACAAGGGCTGTCACTAAGGTGTCTCCCTTCCCAATTGAAGAGTAGTTTCAAGTCTTCATCATCCTCCACCTCTAGTAAAATGTTAAGTTTTTTTTTTGTTCTTTTGTGAACCTCATTGTGGTTCACGGGTGGGGGTATGTTGGATATTTAAGTACAATATGTAAGGTTTGAAAGGTTTTTATTTTCACATTGCAAGGTATTTTATTTTATATTTCTGTAACCAAACAAATTATATATTTTTTAGTTGTTACTAGAGTTATTAGAATCGAGGTCAAGATTTTATTTTATTGTAAGCAATCCAATCCTTTGAGTTTTCATTTTCAATACGCTCACCTGTAGAATTGAACTTTGATCGGGATGTTCCCCTCCCCTGACCGACTAGATAGTGAGCAGCGTCGGGTTAGATGTGCCTTGGACATGGTAGTGACCACGTCATTCTCTCAACGCTCTAATATTCTCTTTTTTACTCTTTTACTCGTGGATAGTTTATTCCTCTAAATTCAGTGTAATTATTGTGATCATCTCAACACCTCGTCCGCCACACCATGAAGACTACCAGATTGATTGAGGGCCCTCACTTCGCAGCGACGTCTCAGCATGGAACTCTCTACTCACGATTTAATTGTACAGGTATTTTTAAATGGTCCTTCGGTTGCTAAAAATTACTCATAAACATTTAACATTTGATCCAATCCTTTACGACACCAACATTCACGAGTGAGGTTAGAGGTTATGTTATTGTTTATAACTCATTGACATTGACAAACTGACAGAGTGTCAGAGTCAAAATTGCACAGTTGCAGCCATCTTAGATTGCAGCCTACACCAGCGCTCCCAACGGCGAAAAATGTTTGTACTGGAGTGAGTGAGAGGGAAAGAGAGTTGGTTTCCGCTCCAACATGAACAAGAACAATACAGTCTGGGAATTTCCCCTTATCAGCAACTTGTACAGTCCTGAATGTTTCGTGAATATTCTAGAGTAGTAATTTTCACTTCTACGATGGAAATAAAAATGACCTTTTTAACGATCACACTAAAATGGCTGACAAACTACTTTCTCGGCAAAGTTTGAGAAGTAAAATAATTACTGTTCACTGTAATAAAAACTTATTGAACGTATTTTACAAAACAAAATAAAAATAAAATAAAATAAAAATGTCTATTTTTCCAAGCGTTGGTTCAAAATAAAATATCTTCCGGCACGTAGGACCAAATGTTAAATGTTTATGAGTAATTTTTAGCAACCGAAGGACCATTTAAAAATACCTGTACAATTAAATCGTGAGTAGAGAGTTCCATGCTGAGACGTCGCTGCGAAGTGAGGGCCCTCAATCAGTCTGGTAGTCTTCATGGTGTGGCGGACGAGGTGTTGAGATGATCACAATAATTACACTGAATTTAGAGGAATAAACTATCCACGAGTAAAAGAGTAAAAAAGAGAATATTAGAGCGTTGAGAGAATGACGTGGTCACTACCATGTCCAAGGCACATCTAACCCGACGCTGCTCACTATCTAGTCGGTCAGGGGAGGGGAACATCCCGATCAAAGTTCAATTCTACAGGTGAGCGTATTGAAAATGAAAACTCAAAGGATTGGATTGCTTACAATAAAATAAAATCTTGACCTCGATTCTAATAACTCTAGTAACAACTAAAAAATATATAATTTGTTTGGTTACAGAAATATAAAATAAAATACCTTGCAATGTGAAAATAAAAACCTTTTAAACCTTACATATTGTACTTAAATATCCAACACACTAAGTACACACATTTACTGTGGTGAAATGATTCTAGTCAACCTATTACAGAATGGGAACTTACAACTCTACCTTTTGGATTAACCTGTAGTCCTTTTCTAGCTCAACGAACAATAAAAAAGTTAATTGCGGATGAAGGGGAAAGTTACTCAGCTGCCTCAAAGGCCCTCAGGTCCAACATGTACATTGATGACATGGTATGTGCAGTTAATACAGAACAGGAAGCTGTTCAGTTGTACCATGAAGTAACTAATTTGCTAAGTAAAGGAGGATTTTCACTCAGAAAGTATGCTAGTAACAGTCCAAATGTGTTATCACACATTCCTGATGAAGAACATAATGTTTTCGTATCCTTTGAATCATCCCATTGCATTAAACTTTTAGGTTTTCTATGGGACCCTACATCCGATGTATTTTGTTACAAGTTGTCCAATGAAAATCCAGTTACTACAAAAAGAGGTGTGTTGTCACAAGTCGCGTGCATTTATGACATAAATGGTTATCTCACTCCTGTTACGTTTTGGATAAAGTATTTCATTCAAAGGCTCTGGCTTGCTGGCATTGATTGGGACGAAAATCTCCCTGCTCCCTTGGCTCAGTTATGGCTGGAATTTTTTTCTCAGCTGGAGGAAATAGAGAAGATCCGAATCCCCAGGTATATAAGTTTCAGGGACCCAGACCAAATCTCGGTGATAGGCTTCTGTGATGCAAGTGAAAAGGGTTACGGAGCATGTGTTTACCTTAGGGTAAAGTCTTCTGACAATCAAGTAAATGTTAACCTACTCAAATCTAAAAGTAAGGTTGTTCCACTCAAACCGGTGACAATTCCTCAGTTGGAACTAAATGGTGCTTTGCTTCTGTCCAGGCTAATAAGGTCATTGAATGACTTGCTATCCAATTTGCCCACTTATGATATAATATGTTATACTGATAGCAGTACGGTTCTGTCATGGTTACATACACCACCCCATCAACTTAAAACCTATGTACGTAACAGAGTTGTTGAAATTCTAGAAGTTTTACCTCCTTCTATGTGGAAACATGTTCCTGGAAAAATCAATCCAGCGGATGCTGCTTCGAGAGGGTTACTACCTACCCAGTTAGTTGATCATGACCTTTGGTGGCATGGACCAAACTTCCTAAAGTTTGACATTTGTCAGTGGCCTCGTAGTGATTATCAATGTGTTAATCCCATTCCAGAAACAAAAAGGGAATATAGTAGTTTCGTCACTCAGGAGACCCCCGATAAAAATAATGATTGTATTTTAGAATCATTATTGCAATCATGTTCTTCGCTGACAAAGGTCCAACATGTTTTAGGTTATGTTTTGCGATTTGTGTCTAATGTTAAAGCAAGTGTAAATAAAAGAATGTTTGGAGAGCTCACTCATTTAGAACTAAGCAATTCATTAAAGGTACTTATTAGATTCACACAAGACAAATACTACTCCTCAGAAATTAACAGTATTAAGAGTAATAAACCTATTAACACGTTGGGTGCTGATGACGGGAATTCCCGCAATTGCTTAACATTGAAATAAATGCAACTTTTATGTTCAAACATGTCGATAGCACGAATAGTGTTAAAGGATATGTACAACATTTGACTCCTTTTGAATGTAAAGAGGGTTTGCTAATGGTGGGGGGTCGCCTAGCTCAAGCTCCTGTCTCAAGTGCCAGGAAACATCCTTATTTGATCCACAGAAAGAGTAGATTAGCGGAGTTGATTTGCTTGTACTATTGATTTGCACTACTTGATTTGCTTGAGAGGGGTGCCATCTACCATGTATAGTGATATAGGTACAAACTTTGTGGGTGCAGCCAGAGAACTGAAAGAACTTAGAGATGTATTGCTACAGGGTAATGACCAAATCAAGTCCTACTGTGAAGAGCGTCACATCAATTGGCAGTTCAACCCTCCATCAGCTCCGAATTTTGGTGGTTCCTGGGAAGCCGCAATAAAATCAATGAAACATCACCTCAAACGAGTAATCGGAGATCGTCCCTTAACATATGAAGAATATTCAACTCTATTAGCGAAAATAGAAGCTATCATGAATTCCCGTCCTTTGTGTCCAGTGTCATCCAGCCCTTCCGATGGGTTTGATTATTTGACTCCAGGACATTTTCTTGTGGGTGCTCCTCTACTCTTAAGTCGCCCTGAAGAGGATCTGTCAAATCAACCCATAAACTTTCTGGTTACAGAAATATAAAATAAAATACCTTGCAATGTGAAAATAAAAACCTTTTAAACCTTACATATTGTACTTAAATATCCAACATAGTGTCATGTGGATTAAGGCCTATACATCTGTACATCTGTTTGATATCACCTATTAGAGCTATGGGGTTCATTCGAAAATATAACAGGATCTGAGATATATCAGATTGTAATTTAGGACCTGATAATAGAAAATCATTTAATGATTTGCCCGTACCCTATTACTTTTTTCACTAGCATTGAAGACCACTCGCACTTGTGTAGTTGTACTTTCCTTGACAACAGCATGATGAGTTAATAGATAATCCACTCTTGCAGTGGCAGGATGCATATGCCCTTGTGTTACATAGTCTTCTAAATTAGCATTGTACTGGTTTTGGAAATCAGGAAACTTTGACATTCTTCTTTCTAAGCTTAGAAGGCGTTTATGAGCTACATGGCTTGTGGATCCTAAATCATCTGGAGGTACAGCTCCCTTGAATGGAAGAGAAACTTGATATCTCCCATTACTATCACAAGTGGTGGTTTCTCTGAAAACCTTTTCACAGAAAACGTCATTATAATCTGTGGGAACTACATGAGTGGGTTCTTCAGACTCCCAAAATCTTCTTAACATATCATCAAGGGATGGTGTTTGGGTAAACATGGTTTGAGCGACAGAAGAGTTGTGAACAATGGGAATTTTACCAAAAATGATAAATCCAAAAATTGTATCTAAAGCTGCTGGAGAACCTTTGATATGCACCAAACTATTGGAAAGTATGTCGGAGTAATGTTGAACACCTAAGAGGACATCAATCGATCCAGGTTTATCGAATTCGGGATCAGCTAGTTGTATATTACCAAACCTGTTGTGTATACTTGGGTCTAGCTTGGTTTTCGGCATGTTAGAGGATATAGTTTGCAAAACTATTGCTTCTACTGACAGAATGGGGTCTTCCCTATGAAGAGGAACAATGGAGCAAGATACACAACCTCGAGTATTAGAGAATGAAGATGATCCAACACCTACCACGTCAATTGAGTACCTTTTGCGGGGTAATCGTAAAGTTTGTGCTAGAGACTATGTAATAAATGATGATTCACTGGCAGGATCAACAACCATACGACATTTCACCCAGTCACCTGTAGAGGACATAACTCGACCTTGTACTGTACCTAACAACCCAGTTGTACTTGGTTTGTGCGCTTGTGATTTCACATGACAATTTAATGCATTAGTGGAAGGCTCGTTACTTTTAGGAACTTGAGTAGGGAGGGTTTTACTGGTTTCAGTGCTACATTGTGGTATTTGTGGTGTGTCACGGTGCAGCAAGGAGTGATGGTTTTTGTTTTTGCATGCTCGACAGACGACAACTGAACTTACTTCTACAGTTAGCACGTGGGTGTGGCCCTAAACAAGCATAACACAGCTTCAAATTATTTGCTGTCTCGAGTCTTTGTGTAGGAGACATTGCAATGAATCTTTCACAAGAACTTAATTTATGTGTATCCTGATTTTTACACAATGGGCACTTAACCTTATCATTGTACATTTCTACCCCTTTGGTTTGAGGTGTGCTACCTTTTGGTTCTTGAGCGTTAGACATAAAGGACTTAGTAGTTGAGCTTTGTTTGATACTTTTAATGGATTTTCCACTTTGGGGAGAGTAGTTGGGGTTTGTATTTGGCTTACTTACATTGGGGGCCTGCACCAAGGAGGCAACTTTATACTGCTCAAATACAAACAATGATAAGTCCTTAAAAGTAGGGAAATCCTTATGAGAATTCTTATCTTCGAATAAACGCTTAGTGTCAGGATCAAGAACATTCATGGCTAAATTAAATACAACAAAATCAGCTAAATCAGGAATTTTCAAAGCTTTCAGGGATTCATACTGAACACAAAATACATCAATAAACTGTCTTAAGTTGTTAGAAGAACCATTCATGAATGGTTTAAACTGAAGTAGTTTATTCAGATAGTGTGTACCCACTAACCTCTTATCTGTATACCTTTCTACTAGCTTATCATATGCTGCTTGATAATTCTCCTCATTAAAATCAAAGTGATCAATAACTGATAGAGCAGGTACCTCTAAATATGATTTCAAAAAAGAAAACTTTTGTATAGGAGCTAACTCGGTTTCATGCACAAGTGTATCAAATAAAGACCTAAAAGCTGGGAACTTTTCCAAATCACCTTTGAACTTTGGAATGTCAATTGGGGGTAATTTTGGCCTCAATTTTTTACATCATGAGTAATAGGAAGTACAACATCTTTTTTTCGATTGTCTAGAATCACCTGACTTTGAGCAACAACGTTATAATACAAATCCTCATATGCATCAGAGGTACTTTCAATGGTCACTGCAGACTCTATTATTAAATTTAATCTTGCTAACTTATCTTGAATTTCATTGAATAACGTATAATCACTTTCAACCTTTTGTGCTCTCGCAATAAATACATTTTCATTTTCTGGTAACTTCTTAATTAAATCATAAGTAGTTTGTAGTTTACGAAATAATCTCTCACGCTTCTCAACACAAGCTTTACTTTCTAACTCCTCTTTAGTACCCATCTTAATTAAATCATAAGTAGTTTGTAGTTTACGAAATAATCTCTCACGCTTCTCAACACAAGCTTTACTTTCTAACTCCTCTTTAGTACCCATCTTAATTAAATCTATAAATCAATAATTTTATAGTTTAAAAGACAAAACCACTTAAATAAGTTGATTTATTTACAAATATAAATATATTTATGCATATATTCATAAATTCTTCTTTTCTTTTTTATGAATATTAAAAGAGAAATTTACAGGGAAATACATGAGCATTAGCAACCTTGAATGAACAATAGCTTGATAAGCTTATCTCTCCCAGACATGAAAGACACTATTGAATTTTGTACAAATAAATAAACCCTTTAAAGTCACCAAACTTATTTATTTATTAATAACTTATCCTGGCTCCGATAGGACCAAATGTTCGGACCAATGCCCGTGTTTGACTTTAACTGACTTTATTAAACATACACTTAAGTGGACTGTATTATCTGACTTGCTTTGGTGACTTATTTGGGGCTAGACATGAAGAACAATACATAGGCCTACATTTGAAACAATTGGTTTATTAAGGCTTTCACTCTTCACAGTTAACATGGATTGTACTTTACTTTTACCTAGAAATTAAGTGTACCTTTTATCTTACAGTAATATTTAACTTTATTTAGATTTATTAGTTTAAATCTGGCCAGATGCATTAATTTCCCCAATACTTAAAAGAGGTTAATGGACTTGGAGGAAGGAAGGGAAGTGGCCACATAATGTCTGTTGACTGTTACTGATGCTAATAAAAGTCACTTATGATGTTGGAGTGATCATACCCACTTTCGAAGATCTTTACCTCTTTATAGGAAGTTATTACAGAAAATAATTACTTGAAGCACTACATATTTACATTTACTTTAAACCAATACTTAGAAACTTTAACACTGCACCAAACAAAACCCTAGACATGTTGCTTGTCTGTAACTTTTGACCAGAAGGAGAAAATAGATAAGATCACCCACTCCACCAAAGTTCAGGCTTTGCCCACCAGAGTTCAGCACCAATCAAACACAAACACTGCATTACTTAGTTCACTCACTTTCCACCAGAGTAAGGAGATTGGAGGGAAATAAGGATGGCCCAAACATCTTAATTCCAAGGAAAAATTGGGTTCGGATTCCACTATAAACTGTAGGTCCTTTAGTTACTATTTAGTACAGGTAAAATAGGCATGTAATAACAAAAAAATTGGTCCGTTGATAAATCTTGGTGAAAATGTTCCTTTTGTCATAAGAATTAAGAGTCTAAAGAGTCCATAAAACAATTTTAGGTGGAAGGGTGTTTTTCGGGGGGGGGGGGAGGGGAGAAATATCACTTTGAAAAACTGAAAATTCCAATTTGACGAAATATAGGCATGTGACACATGTTTTGGGGGTTATTTTTGATGCAGAATCGAATAAAGATAAGAGTCAGACGATATAACCTCCATATAAAGAGTTTTTGTTTTGATTACCTCATATATTCGATAATTTTCCCAATTAGTACAGGTAAGATGATATCAAAAACACCATAGTATAAAAAAAATTCCCTTGATGAATCAGAGTGAAAACGACTTTACATATAGCTTTTCGCATAAAAATAAAGAATCAAAATAGCGCATAAAAATAGAAAATACCCCCGCCACAGCAAACCTGCAGACTAAGGGAATTTCTAATTACCTAATTGGAGTTTCAATAAAATCTATTTTATTTTAAATAACACTAGGTTTAACAAGTACCTAGTGCTGCTGTTACAGAGAGGGTAATATAGTGTTTTTTTAGTTGAGTGTGAATAGCTTAGTTTAAAGTAAATACAATTGCCAAGTTTGATGGAAATATATCTACAGTGTTAACAAAACGGGAGTGCCGATGGTGACCTGTGGGGGTGCGTGCGTTTGAAGGGACTTGACCTGGTCTCCATCGACACTCCCATTTTGCTAACCCTGTATACACAAGCAAACTACAACAAATTGACTTATTCTCCTTAACAATAACACAGGACTTTTAAATTAAAAATGTATTGAATCTTCTCCGTAACCAATAATCGTAAAAACAAATTTAAATATACTACATTATTTGTTTTATAACTATATTAAAAGTTTTAAACAGAAATTGAGGGCTTATGTTTTGAGAGCCAAAAATGAGAAACCCCTATTTTCACGCAATAAAAGCCCCCATAACACACTGTTTCATCGGTCCGATCATGCTGGTTCTCAAACTCATTCTAGTTTATTCCGCCCTACACCTTCAAGCAAAACGTTTTTCAAAATCTAAAAAAATAACTTAAGTTGTCATTGACTTCTCTTTAATAGCAGTCTTCGAACACTCAGAACTATGTATTTGCTGGGCCATTCATTTAGTGGTTGTGACAGCAAGAGTGTTACATTTGGGAAAGGTAAAAAACATATCCTTAACATACTG